GAGAGAGACAGAGAGAGGGAGACAGAGACAGAGAAAGAGAGAGAGACAGAGAGAGAGAGACAAGCAGAGAGAGAGAGAGAGATCATGTTACCTTAACGAGCGGGCCGTAGTAGATATAAACCTTGCCAGCATCTGGGGTCTGCGAGCCCCGACCCTGAGCCAGAGGAGCGCCCACAATGAGGTCGTCGACACCGTCTCCGTCCACGTCGCCAGCAGCAAGACAATACCCGAACTGGGCGCCCATCTCCTGGCCGTACACTGACGACCCCGGCTCCGGTTTCAATCGAGCGTTAACAAAGTTTATCTGGTGAGCGGAGCATTATGTTAATAAACAAATCCACAAGGGCCGTGATGAGAGTTCGAACTTACACACGGGACGTTACTAGCTGCGCCTTATTATGTTAATATTTTGTATGCCTACCAGAGAATGGCCGAAAGAAGAATTGAACATTAGGTACTGGATTGGCTTGTTCGAGTTGGCATGCCAAGTAGCGCAGAAATTAAAACATTTATCAAATGCCAAGTATTACCCGAGTGTAGCTCTATAATGCACTTACTGCTGGTATTACTGCAAGAATCATTTATTTTAGTCAATATTAGAACAATCACCCCCCCTACCTTACCTTGGAGTTGTTCAGGGGCTTAGCGTCCCCGCGGCCTTAGCGTCCCCTGTTGTTATTCCCATAAATAATACAATCACTGTTGATTGTACACTGTTGTTTGTTATCATTTAGTCACACGTGTCCCCAGATATCGGAGTGATATTAAAGACGCTGGATACTGACTTGAGATGCACTATGCTCTCTTAAATTCTACTTTTAGTCATTTTCAACAAATTAAAAGGAGTTTTTATTATATTTTTTAGTTATTTATTGCTTACCTGGTAATATTTAAGACGTAGACGTACTCCACAGGTATCTTAAGACGTCGTCTATCATACTCCCAGAGTATCTAAGACGTCGTCTATCATACTGCCAGAGTATCTAAGACGTCGTCTATCATACTGCCAGAGTATCTAAGACGTCGTCTATCATTCTCCCAGAGTAACTAAGACGTCGTCCATCATACTCCCAGAGTATCTAAGACGTCGTCTATCATACTCCCAGAGTCTCTAAGACGTAGAGTGTTCTACTCACCGTGGAGAACATTGATTTATGACGAGTTATGAAACACGTTGACTGTTGCGAGAACACCGTGTTAATACTAGAACACGTATTTCATAGATATAGAGGCCACTTAGATTAGGCGGTATCTCGATGACCTCCCTACTTGCAGGTCGGAGTTCAATCCCCGACGGTTCAAATCGTTTTCTTCCCCCCCTGCGACCTCAGACGTCAGCTTCTGTCCTGCCCGCGTGTCCCGTCAGTGTGCTGCTGGTCATGGTCATGGTCATAGTCATGGTTACTAAGCGCTCTCCCGTCATAAGTACTTGTTAAGTTGTATGTACTGCTACTATTATTGTTACTAAAAACATTGTTATTGGTATTAGGTTTTGTCTTCGTAACTCACGTTTTATTGCTAAAATATATATTGGCATACTAATAATAATAATAATAATAATGAGAAAATTAAGTAGTAGCCTTGATGAGGGTTCGAACCTATGCCCTGGGTGTTCCCACGCACACGCCTCTAACGAGTAGACAACGACATGGTATATAAGAATTGCAACCCTGGATTCCTACTGAACACACACAAGGGTTTTCGGAGGCTTCCACTGAAGCCGGAACAGGATTTTCCCACTAATCCCCCCCCCCCATACACTCTGGCTTTGTCATTTTAAGACGTGTTCTACCTCATTCATTTTCCAAAATTCTACTACCATTACTGAATCTATTTTCGCTTCTACTTTTATGACACAAAACCCGTACACATTTGTCTATCCAACATCCCAACCACAACTGCTATCGCAATTGCCACGAAAACTCGTGCAAATGGACCGGTAGAGCGGACAGCACTTACGGCTCCGCGGGAATGATCGGCTCCGGGTAGCGAGGTGGCCAGGGCCTCCCTCGCTCCGTCGAACTTGCCCACCGCCAGCGCCCAGCCCTCCATGGAGAAGTCCAGCTCTTCCGCTCCGTATGTGGCCTTGTTGGTCTCCATCCACTTGGTGCCAGAGGAGAGCATGCTGACCAGGATACCTGTCAGAGGGGGGAGTGATTAGTGGCGTGGCGAAGGGGGGATATGGGGAAGCAGGCATGGGAGGCAGAGAGACAGAGAAAGAGAGAGAGAGAGAGAGAGAGAGAGAGAGAGAGAGAGAGAGAGAGAGAGAGAGAGAGAGAGAGAGAGAGAGAGAGAGAGAGAGAAAGAGAGAGAGAGAGAGAGAGAGAAAACACGACAGGAAACTTATCTTGAGGGGAAGGGGAAGGGAAATGGGAGCGAGAAAAGGCAGGTCAGTAACTTGAGAAAGAGGAGGATATGGGGAGGGGGGAGGTCAGTAACAACAGAAGGGAGACACATGTTTTCTCCGCTTGTGTGTGTTGTGTGATTGTGTTACGTGTGTGTTGGAGTGCATGTACTCACCTAGCTGTGCTGGCGGGGGTGGAGCTTCAGCTCTTGGGTCATGCCTCAAAACTTAAATCAACCAGCGATTCCTAGGTTGTCTATATTTCAAGTGGTGTATAGTTTCTCCCTCCACCATACATATATAAGCCTAACCTCGATATAAGCCTAACATATACTGTATGTATCAACATATACTGTATGTATCAACATAATAGTAGACATCCGTCAATCCCTTGGGGTTATGGAGTTGTGCCTTGTGTGTCTGGTTGGGTGCAACGTCTGACGTGGCTGTGAAGTCCAACCCGAGAACGGCAATCCCGACCGCAGCGAGCGCAGATAAAAGCCGAAGCGGGTGCGTCTGTCGTTTGAATTATAGCATAGTAGAACTCTGTTTAGTGTTTGCAGGTTATAGTTGTGTGTGTGTAAACTAAAGTCTTTGAAAATGTAATAAGTTATTACGAAACGCGTTCAAGTGTCGCGTCAGACTAGAAATAAAAATGAATTTTGGAGAATTGATTTTTCAATTACCATCGACAGTGAAAAGAAACATAAGAAATATTGAGAAAATTCGTGTTAGAATTATTAATCTTACTTTTTCGGTCATATTAAATAATATATGTTTGCAAGAAAGACTGCTACCAATATATATATATACCTCGATATATATATATATATATATATATATATATATATATAATATATATATATATATATATATATATATATATATATATATAATATATATATATATGAACACGTTGTACTGAACGGGAGTGAGAATAGCTTGAGCTGTCTCATCCCTTTGTGTGTATTTATACCTCAATAAACTTATTTTAATTCGTGTTTACCTTGACCGAAGAAAGCGTAGGGGCCTCCTAGGTATACGTAGTGCTGGTCCTGTGTAAGACGAGGTCACGCGGATTAAATTATTTCTCACCTCTTTTGGGTTAGTTTTGAAGGAAAGCACATTTTTGTTTGAATGTTGGTGTTTAATAGTTTTATTTGTCACTCATTTATCAATTTTAAGTAATACTTTATTTAGCCAATTTTTCAGACTATAAATTTGTACAATCTGATTTTGCAGAGCCCGAGGCAGTGCTACCAACATACCTGACTCAGGACCCCGCTGGAGCCCGCCAGAGCGAAGGCGGTTAAAGCATTGGTGTTTTTGTAGGTCTTTTGCCCCACTTGAAAATTGTCTCCTGGAAACACGGATACATAAATGCATTACAAATGTATAACATTAAATAAACAGACGAAGATTAACAAATAATGTGATTAAAATCAATTCAATTATAGAAAAAAAATATATTATAACAACGTTTAGTAAAAAAAATCACACAGCGTCAACTGTAATTATTACACTACACTGGAGAGATTATTTACACCACTGGAGAAGTTATTTACATTACTGGGGAGGTTATTTACACCACTGGAGAGGTTATTTACATTACTGGGGAGGTTATTTACACCACTGGAGAGATTATTTACACCACTGGAGAGATTATTTACACCACTGGAGAGGTTATTTACACCATTAAGGGGGAGGTTATTTACACCATTAAGGGGGAGGTTATTTACACCATTAAGGGAGAGGATATTTACACCATTAAGGGGGAGGGTATTCACACAAGGGTGGAGATCACAACAGGTGATCTCCTGTTGTGATCAGGAGCAGATCACAACAGGACCCACGAACTCAAACTAGATCACAGCAGAAGGTAAACTATACGAGCAGGACACACTTGAACACATACTCACCAGGGTAGGGAAGTACCTTGATGACTTCGCCTGCCTTCGTGGACAGGACGTAGCAGGCCCCGCGCCCGTGGAGAGAGATGTAGTCGTGCGACACGACCTTCCGTGGGTAACGAGGGGCGCACGCCTGGTGTAGAGGGAGAGAGCAGTGAGTACTGGGGCGCAGCTCTGATGACAGAGATGAAGGATGAGGGGAGCGATGCAGCTCTGTATGTCGTGAGGATAAACATACTCCAACACATACGATCTCTTCATTAAATAATACTACATAGTCCTCTCCATGCTTGGCATCTTCTTTCGATAATGATTCACTTATTTTATAGACTAGGAATGAGCCGTGATCCTACTGATGATTTTATATTCCAAACACAACTTACCTGACGCCACCAAGTCGAGTCAAACAGCCATGGTACACACATAATGGAAATTAATTCTCGTAATACAGTTAAGGCAATCATGGTGACGGCTCCCACCATGGGACACCCATCATGGTGAACACAGACACTCACCAAGAGTTTGGACTGGGCGGCTCCTGTCGTATACAGAGTCTCGCCGAAGCCAATCCCTTGATTCTGCATGGTTGCTCCCCACCAGACGGCTTCCTGGCTACGATCTGCGGAGAGGTGGCAGAGTTGATTGGTAGGTGGGTGGTGGTAGTGGCTGGTAGGTGGTATCAGTGGCTGGTAGGTGGTGTCAGTGGTTGGTAGGTGGTGTGTGGTGTCAGTGGCTGGTAGGCTGGTGAGTGGTGTCATTGGCTGGTAGGTGGGTGGTGTCAGTGTCTGGTAGGTGGGTGGTGTCAGTGTCTGGTAGGTGGGTGGTGTCAGTGTCTGGTAGGTGGGTGGTGTCAGTGTCTGGTAGGTGTGTGGTGTCAGTGTCTGGTAGGTGGGTGGTGTCAGTGTCTGGTAGGTGGGTGGTGTCAGTGTCTGGTAGGTGGGTGGTGTCAGTGTCTGGTAGGTGGGTGGTGTCAGTGTCTGGTAGGTGGGTGGTGTCAGTGTCTGGTAGGTGGGTGGTGTCAGTGTCTGGTAGGTGGGTGGTGTCAGTGTCTGGTAGGTGGGTGGTGTCAGTGTCTGGTAGGTGGGTGGTGCCAGGGGCTGGTAGGTGGGTGGTGTCAGTGTCTGGTAGGTGGGTGGTGTCAGTGTCTGGTAGGTGGGTGGTGCCAGGGGCTGGTAGGTGACTGTGGAGTGGTGCTGTGCAATGTTGTTATCAACCACTATCTGGGGGGGGAAGCAAGTCAGTTGTTAGAACATCAATTTTTCTTAAGTTTATCTTGATTAATCTGAGTTTTCAACTTTCGTCACCGTTCTCTTATCCTGTTTTCTCTCAATAAAAAAAGGCTAACACAGTCGACCTTGTCTATTCCATCGGTATCATGCATGAAGTGATCATGTCCACTCTTTGATCCCCATTTCTGAAGTTATTAGATTGAAATCCATCGAAGGCATGTTTTGTTCTACGTGTGTGTGCTGGTATTAGTGTAGTGGATGTAGGTACTGGTATTAGTGACAGTACCATACATGGGTACCAGTCCCATACACCACGTGGTATCCAGTCCCATACACCACGTGGTGCCCAGTCCCGTATACTCACCCGTGTAGCTGAGAGAGGGGAGAGAGGGGAGAGGATCACACGTGTCGCTGAAGGTCTTGCACACATAGATGTCCCCCAGAGGCAAGCTGTAGTTCCCGGCCTTGGAGCTCCGTCCCCTCGGCGCCCCGACCACCAGGCTGACACAACACACACACGCAGGTCAGAAATCTCACGTGAAGAAGAAAGGTCACAATACCGTGGCCCGAAACGAGATGTTTTTACAAATATATCTAAATGGCTTGAAATAAATGTGATTTTTTATGTACCAAATGTACGAGAGAAGAGAGAGAGCTCTAGAGAGAGAGAGAGAGAGAGAGAGAGAGAGAGAGAGAGAGAGAGAGAGAGAGAGAGAGAGAGAGAGAGAGAGAGAGAGAGAGAGAGAGAGAGAGAGAGAGAGAGAGAGAGAGAGAGAGAGAGAGAGACAGAGAGAGAGAGACTTAGACTGAGACTTGCCTTTTCTCTTTGACTTGGTCATGCCACAGAGCCACACTGTAGCCGTAGTAGGAGTCGTTGTTGCCCCTCAGGATTCTAGAGAGGTTTACGTTGAGATTGAAGCCTGAGACTCGGGCCTGGAGGTCCGTCGCCACCACCACCATCGCCACCAGCCACGCCCAGGAACTCATCCTCCTCCTATAATTAAGAAGGAATAAAATGCTTATCTTCAAAAACTAAGACGGTTAGGTTAGGTCGTGGTTTTCTATTCAGCTTTTCAGGTAAACTCAAATATTCACAATATATTTGACAGTACGATTTAATACTAAGTGTAGATAAGTACAATTCCTGATTGTCATACATAGTACATTATTGCACTTATGGAGCTGTAACATTTACCTCCCCATTTTTGGAGGACGGGCTGGGAAGTGCCCGACTCTCAACCTTCACGTTATCTAGAATGTGTGTAGACTTTTTCCTTGTATACAGACTTTTCTGATGTCAATGCTCGTGTGTACTTAAATGTTTATACCAACGAGCAGTGATTTTGTGTATTTGTCGTTTAAAGCATTTTTTGTTTAGGCTTAAAGCTCGCCCTCTTAAAAGCTTATCTTAAGTTTCATTCTACAAGGTTTCCCCTGGAACACGATCCACCAATATGTTGACATCAGGGCCCCAATTACTCACCTATTTGTATTTACATGTTTGTGTGTGTGTGTACTCACCTAGTTGTTGAGCTCTGGCTTTTTGATCCCGCCTTTCAACTGTCAATCAACTGGTGTACAGATTCCTGAGTCTACTGGGCTCTATCATATTTACATTTGAAACTGTGTATGGAATCAGCCTCCACCACATCACTGCCTAGTGCATTCCATCTGTTAACTACTCTGACACTGAAAAAGTTCTTTCTAACGTCTCTGTGGCTCATTTGGGTACTAAGTTTCCACCTGTGTTCCCTTATTCGCGTACCACCAGTGTTAAACAGTTTATCTTAATCTACTCTGTCAATTCCTCTTAGAATTTTGTAGGTAGTAATCATGTCTCCCCTAACTGTGTGTGTGTATTTAATATTTGTATTTACTATTTGTACCTGCAGAATCGGATATTAGCTCTTGGACCCCGCCTTTCTAACTAATCTAATTTTCCTCTATTATATCTACTACATATGTTTCTCTCAAACACGCTCACACACACATCCCCAGGAAGTAGCCCGTAGCAGCTGTCTAACTCCCAGGTGCCCATTTACTGCTAGATGAACAGGAGCGTCAGGGTGAAAGAAACTGCCCATTTGTTTCTGCTTCGGCTGGGAACCGAACTCGGGCCCATAGGACTACGACCCCCGAGTGCTGTCCACTCAGCCCAATGTGTGTGTGCGTGTGTGTACTTACCTAGTTGTACTCATCTATGTAGAGAAAAATAGGTTGACACACACAGACCCAGGAAGCAGCCCGTAACAGCTGTCTAATTCCCAGGTACCTATTTACTGCTAAGTAACAGGCACATCAGGGGTGAAAGAAACACTGCCTTTTTTGTTTCCGCCGGCGCCGGGAATCGAACCCTGGACCTCAGGACTACGTATCCAGCGTGCTGACCACTTAGCTACAGAGCCCTGGCGGTATTTGTGACCGACTGAAATAATATGTTTATACGTGTGCATGTGAGTGATTATGTGCGTGAGTGCCTCGCTGAACAGCCACATTGGCTTAAGATTGTTGAAGATTAGGACACCACAAGAGGTGGCACGGGCATGAATAGCCCGTAAGTGGTACAGTTCTTGGGGAGAATGTGGTCTTCGGTCGCACACAACCGCAGGAAGTGCCGTCTAAAAATACTGGTGGCGGATGTCAGGGAGACACTTGGGGTGCAAACCTCTCTTCACTTATCTGGCGGTTGTTTAAATGTTAATATTATAAACTATTAACCCATTCTCGTGTTGGAAAGAGAGAGAGAGAGAGAGAGTACAATTATCACATCTCGTGCATCTGGAGAGACGCTTCGTTACTTTCCGTAGGATGGTATATCACTGGGAGTCCTATAGACTCCAGGAAGCCGGTCGGCCGAGCGGACAGCACGCTGGACTTGTGATCCTGTGGTCCTGGGTTCGATCCCAGGCGCCGGCGAGAAACAATGGGCAGAGTTTCTTTCACCCTATGCCCCTGTTACCTAGCAGTAAAATAGGTACCTGGGTGTTAGTCAGTTGTCACGGGCTGCTTCCTGGGGGTGGAGGCCTGGTCGAGGACCGGGGGGACACTAAAAAGCCCCGAAATCATCTCAAGATAACCACCCCCGAGAGTCGTGTCCCGGGGGTCCTATAGACTCCAGACACCCCAGAGAGCGGTGCATGTGTCATCTGGTGGCTTCGTGTAGTATCCTACAGTCCTGTTATGTATTATGCTAGAATGTCACCTGTAAAGGGACTTAGTAATGATATATTTTCACCAAGGTGGAGGGTTTGACGTTAGACTGGAATTTAAAAGAAATGTAACAATTTAGTAATATTTTGTCTTTAGCCCCCACACAAAAAGATCGCGTATTTCTCCATCTGGCGTTTGCGTTCACGCGTACGTACATGGACTCGTCCTTCATGAGGCTAAAATTTAACTAATCTAACTGTAATTTAAGCAAGTTATTATTTTTTCTCTTTTTTTCTTAGTCTAGTTGAAGACATATTAATTTGAGAGGAGTTGATGAGAATGACATGATTACATGATTGTAACCAATGGCTTCTGTCAGGGCAAATCGTCAGCAAACACAATTTTTGTTTTGTTTGCAATAGAATGTTTTTGTTCTTGATAATTTTTCCTCGGAAATGTTTATCAAGGGAGTGGAGATATGCTATTTATTGTTCAGGTTTGTAATTGTCTCAAATTGTAATTTGATCAACGTTTGAGATGATATTTTTCACCCTTATGAAAAGTCTACTTGGTTTGGAGCGCCGAAGGTTCGTTCTGTACAGGGTTCGTTCTGAACAGGTTTCATAATGTTACCTCACGGGAAAACCTGTCCTGTTCTCACAGCTGGACGATCATAGAGTCCGCTACTAACCTTATCAGTATCAAATTAAACAAATCTATAAGGACCGTGACATATATTTTGACCATGTCGTAGCTCAGTCGATAAAGGCAGAGTCTGGGATGATCTCGGACATAGGTTCGAATCCTCGTCACGGCCCTTGTGGATTTGTTCATTTGATGCATCACGCTATTGTGATTTCTGTGTATTTATCAGTATCAAATTAAACAAAATAATTGATTTTGTAATCATTGTACTGCCACTGGAATAAAAGGATCTTTGGAGTATTGTGGAAACACATGAAAATTTTAATTATAAAGTTCTACGCATTCAATTTTTGGTACAAATGTGATTGTGTTGAAATATCCAGAAAGTGTTGGTATTGATATGTGAATTTATCATTTACACATCTCTATGTAACCATTAAATATATTTTTGATTCTCTGAAATTTTACTTTTCATGAAATTTTGAGTTATTTTAGTTTGAAGTTTGCAAGCTGAAACTGCCTTTCTTACGTACAGTTATCGGAAGGAATATGCTAGTGGAGTGGAGATATGCTATTTAATTTGAGATAAGCTATTCAGTTATTTTAGTTTGAAGTTTGCAAGCTGAAACTGCCTTTCATACGTACAGTTATCTGAAGCAATATGCTAGTGGAGTGGAGATATGCTATTTATTGTTCAGGTTTGTAATTGTCTAAAATTGAAATTTGATCAACGTTTGAGATGATATTTTTCACCCTTATGAAAATTCTACTTGGTTTACTCGTCACGGCCCTTGTGGATTTGTTCATTTGATGCATCACGCTATTGTGATTTCTGTGTATTTATCAGTATCAAATTAAGGGGGCATATCATTCTAAATCGTTATAAATTAAAAGTTGTTCAGTTTGCTTATAAATTTTTTTATGAAATGGTTATAGAAAGGGCTGCAACTGGTCCAAGTTTCACCATCACACCCTAAACAGAAAAGGAGAAAAAAAATGCACAACGTATTATGCAACGAATGTTCAACATTCTCAAATAATCTCAGGGAACACATGTGTCAACTAAAATGTCTACTATGTGCTGTAGAAGCACAAACTTTTGTAATAATTGTAATATGTATGTGCAATATATTTATATTTAAATTTTTTTTTTTCTTTTGGCCAATATTTGTTTCTCGTTTGTTATCAAGGGATTTGCATGAAACTTGCACACCTTGCTCAATGGATGCGTATCTGCAAGGGTGCCGATTATGAACGAAATCTGTCGAAGTCAAGCTCAGCTACAGGTGGCCGAACTTGGATCTTTATTTTACTCTGGAAAGTAATTTAAACCTTCAAATTACTTCAGAGCTTTCATTTATTAATCAATTTACATGCAAATTACACCTTATATGTAGCGTTTGTGCTTCTACAGAATCTAGTAGACATTTTAGTCCAAAGTCTATTTGTTGATTTTATAAAAATTTATAAATATCACATATTGCATATTTTTTTAGAAGGGTAACTTTGAAAAATTATATTGTTGCACTAAACATTTTTTGATAAAACTGATCACTAGAATCCTTTATTATGTGCTTAATTTAATAACTGAGTGTTATAGAAATGATTTTAGTTGACACATGTGTTCCCTGAAACTATTTGAAAATTCGTTGCATAATTCGTTGTTTATTTTTTTTCTCCTTTTCTGTTTAGGGTGTGATGATGAAACTTGGACCAGCTGCAGCCCTTTCTATAACCATTTCATAAAAAAATTTATAAGCAAATTGAACCACTTTTAATTTTACATTGATATGCCACCTTAAACAAAATAATTGATTTTGTAATCATTGTACTGCCACTGGAATAAAAGGATCTTTGGAGTATTGTGGAAACAAATTAAAATTTGAATTATAAAGTTCTACGCATTCAATTTTTGGTACAAATGTGATTGTGTTGAAATATCCAGAAAAGTCTTGTTATTGATATGTGAATTTATCATTTACACATCTCTATGTAACCATTAACTATATTTTTGATTCTCTGAAAATTTACTTTTCATGAAATTTTGAGTTATTTTAGTTTGAAGTTTGCAAGCTGAAACTGCCTTTCTTACGTACAGTTATCGGAAGGAATATGCTAGTGGAGTGGAGATATGCTATTTAATTTGAGATAAGCTATTTAGTTATTTTAGTTTGAAGTTTGCAAGCTGAAACTGCCTTT